ATCGGAGCGTAGCTGACTTGGGATGTTGTGTTAGTTCAGGTGTATAGCGTGGTGATTCAGTTATACACATTTCCTGGCCTTCCGCCTTGGCCAGAGCTCTGGAGGCTCCCTGGCACAGCCTTCTGCCTGCATCCTTCCTGGTTCTAGAATACTTCTAACCTGCGCTGATCACTGGCTGAGCTACAAAATGGAAAAAGGAGGGGAGCTGGGCAGAGAGGCCATTGAACTAAACTGTCCAAAGGTCGTGAGAAAGGATGGTCTCCGCTCCACGCCTGATGAGGGGCCCCGGACTCCTGCTTATTAAAGGGGAAGGAGATCAGAGCCACCGGCGTTCCGGCGAGGCTGGCAGAAGACATCTGGTGCTGGGGTAGCTTTCTGCTTCTAGCAGCAGAGAAAGCTGAGACCATCGCTCCTTCAAAGAGACGTCATGGGCTCAGGGCCCCTTCTGTGCAGGTCATATCCTGCCCACCTCAGCCATTTTTCTATAGTCCAGAGCCACTTGGGGTATCATCAACAGGCAACTCAAGCTATTTGCACCATGTCCATATTTCCAGACCATATATCCTCTTGTGCATCTAAAACCAAGACAATGGCGATCACATTGCACTATATAAATGTATCAAATCAGCATGAGATACACCTTGCACATGTGTGTGCATGCTCAGTCGTATCCAACTCTGTGACCGTGGACCATAACCCACTAGGCTCCTCTGTCCAAGGGAGTTTCCAGCCAAGAATAACGTAGTAGGTTTCCATTTCCTCCTCCAGGGGTTCTTCCCGACCCAGGGATGGAACCCGCGTCTCTTGCTTTGGTAGGCGGATTCTTCACCACTGAGCCTCCGGGGAAGCCCTGATACACCTTAAACTTACGCAATGTTGTAAGTCACACAGGTTCCAATTTAAAAATAGAAATAAAGCCCAGAGAGAGTGGGGTTGCTGCTGGGCTGTTCGCTCTTTCAGAGGAGGGAATGGTTGTCACACCGAGACAGGGGTCTGACACAAGTGATCTCTGACATGTGTGCAGAGGGTTCGGTCCTTACATACGATGAGTGACCCCATCACTTTTAGACGATAAGGGTCACAGGCTAGAGGCGGTGATGTAGGTGACCTGAAACATCCAAAGATCCCAAAGCTTCTTCTCTGTTCCAAAGGCATCAGGTGACTGTCTTCCAGCAGGTGTATTTTTCTGATGATGTTTGACTAAGTCATTTTAGAGTAAACCTCAGGAGTCTGGGAAATGGTCAAGGTGACTTCTAGATGGCAGAGGGAACCCAGCCTAAGATGATTAAAAGTGTCTGATCACGGAAACCTATTTTTGTGTTTTTCTGAGGCTCTGTGACCAGATAATGTAACGTGTATGGTCTCAAGTGAGAGAAGGGAGTGCTTGGGGACACAGAGCTTCGTGGTTTCAGTAGTGGCACCAAATGTCTTCCTGCTCAGCAAGTCAGCTTTGAGGTTTCTAAGCGGATGGAAGACACAGGGGCTGAAAGTGATGAGTCAGGGACACGGATAGCATCGGTTCCCTACAGACAGGCGAGTCAGCCATCCTGCGTCTACACCGCGTCTGTCCCGAGAGGGAGGGACAAAGAGGCCCAGGTTTTCTGACCTCAAAGATCTTAGTGTCTCGAGGACCTTGATGGATGGGGATGGAGAGAAGCTGGGAGTGAGGAGCCACTTCGGGAACCGAACCCTGCAAAACCCAGTTGGTGTCTGCACACACCTCCTCTCCGCATCAGCTCTGCAGGTCTGCCCCCAGCCCCCACTAGCCACAAGAGCCCGCATGGTCTTCTCTGAAGGGATGCTGGAGCTGGGCTCCCTCCCTGCCGCTGCAGTTAAGCCCCTCTCTCCCCGGCCCATCCTGGCCGCCTGCCTCCCTGCTCAGGTTCACTGCCCTTCCTCCTGTTCAGGTTCTGTTCGGCAAATATACTGGAAGGACGTTTCCAGAAACTGTGCTGCAGATGTTTGGAATGGTGCAGTTACCTGGGACAGAGGCGTTTTCTCCTCACCGTGTGTTCACATTTGGGCGTGGGCCAAGTGTGACTTTGGTCATCCGACCAGGACGTTCAGCTATGAGCACAGCAGAGCTGGTGTCCCGTGTGGAATGCCACACTTTCCGTTCCACAGTCTGGACGGCGCTTGTCCTTTCCAAAACCACTTCACACTTATGGCTTCAGCAAATCCTGTAGTTCCCTAAAGCCCTCAGGTCTCTTGACATGAAGTGTTGCTAAATCACGAAACTCCCATCCTGTCTTCATCTTTATGAGCAGTTAAGGCATAAGTTCTTTCTACAGTAGTAAAGGGTGCCAGGGCGTTAGACTCTTCTAACCACCAGCATGCCTTCAAGGGAGTCACCGTGACCTAATTCAGATGGTGAGAATTCCAGGGAGCCGGTCAGGCCTGCCTCTAAGGCGCGCGCTTTGTGAGCAGAATGGGGTTTTGAGATTTCTTGTTTGCTCGTTGGTTGGTTTACTGAAACAGTTGATTTAATAATATCGTGTTAGTTTCACGTATACAGCAAAGTGATCCAGTTATATATTTTTTCTCAGATTCTTTTCCCTTATAGGCTTTTATATAAGATACTGGATATAGTTCCCTGTGCTATATGGGAAATCCTTGTTGCTTACCTACTGTATAGATAGCAGCATGTATCTGTTAACCCCGCACTACTCCTAATTTATTCTTCACCCCACCTGCCTCTCCCTTTTGGCCATAAGTTTGTTTTTTTATGCCTGTGAGCCTGTTTCTATTTTGTTTGTATATAGATTCATTTCTGTTCTTTTAGATTCCATATATATACCAGTGATAGAATATTTGTCTTCGCGTTACTTCACTTAGTCTCTGATCTCTAGGCCCATCCATGTTGCCACAAACGGTAATATTCTGTTCTTTTTGAAGGCCGAGTAGTACTCCACTGTGCATCCATACACCACACTCTCTCAAGCCAGTCATCTGTTGATGGACACGTACATTGCTTCTGTGTCTGGACTACTGTAAACAGTGCTGCTATGAACATTAGCAGTGTTAGTCATTCAGTCGTGTCTGACTGTGACCCCGCAGACTATAGCCCGCCAGGTTCTTCTGTCCATGAATGAAATTCTCCAGGCAAGAATACTGGAGTGAGTTGCCATTTCCTTCTCCAGGGAACACTGGGTTGCTTGTATCTTTTTGAATTAGAGTTTTCCAGATGTATGCCCAGGAGTGGGATTGCTAGATCATACAGTAGCTCTATTTTTAGTTTTTTAAAGATCCTCCATACTGTTTTCCCTAGCAGCTGCACCAATTTGCATTCCCACCAGCAGTGTAGGAGGGTTCCCAGAAGGAGAACTTTGATTACAGTTCCTTCTGCCCACCGTCCTTCCATCCCAGATTCACAAAACTTTTCTTGGAATATTGCCTCCTACAAAAGTTAACATGTAAGAAATTCAAAGTTGTGATCGGCTGTGAATGGGAGGAAGGGAGATGCTCATGGTTATTTCTATGGGGTATCAAACACAAGGGGACCATTTTATTTTATATCCTCTAGTATGCGTGAAGTACTACATGACAAAAATGTTAAACATATAATAATTTTTCAAGGAATATGTAAGTTTGGTTTAAAGTGGAGAGAAAATGCTCAGTACCATTTTGCGTTAAATTAAAAGGTAACAGAAAAATGAGGAGAGAGAAAGTGTGAAATAAGCAAAAGGAAGGGGAAAAGATGGAAGACAGAGAAGGAAAATGAAAGAATGAAAGTAAGTGATCAGAAAGACACAGGCTGGGGTTGGATTGGGCGTTGGCAGCTGGGGAACACGGGTGGAACAGGAGACAGGGCGGGGAAGGTGTGGAGGACCCGGACCCTACAGGTGGGGAGACGGGGCCTTGGGAGCGTCCTCACACTCTCCAAAGCCTCAGCAGGTCTTCCTACCCCTCCAGTCATCAGCCTCGGCCGTCTAAGAGAGCCACCCTCCTCAGTGGTCCAGACCGGGGCCCGTAGCCAGGGGGTCCTGCCAGGCCTGCCTCGCAGCCCTGAAACCCACAACCCAGACGGGGACTTGGACCCACCGTCTTTTTTTAAAGGATACTTTTATTATTTATGTGTTTATGGCTGTGCTGGATCTTCCTTGCTGCGAGGCCTTCTGTCTAGTTGCAGCAAGCAGGGGCTGCCCTTTGCCGCGGCGCTCAGCCTCCTCGTCGCGGCTTCTCCTGCTGCCGCGCAGGGGCCCTAGGGCACACGGGCTTCCCCAGTTGCAGCAGGGTAGCTGTGGCCCCAGCTCTCGGGCACAGGCTCGATAATTGTGGTGCACGGGCTTGGTTACTCTGCAGCACGTGGGATCTTCCCGAATCAGGGATCAAACCCGTGTCTCCTGCGTTAGCAGGCAGATTCGTTACCACTGATCCACAAGGGAAGCCCAGACTCACTGTCTTTCCACCCCCTCCTCCCCCCGACTGTCTTTTAATTGGTATCACACACCTGACCTCAGGATTTAATGAAACTCAGGTTCCTGATAGCTCATTGCAGGAAGAATTCAGTGAGAGGCAGTGACAGGTCGCAGGTGGATTTATTCAGAGAGAAACACGCCACAGACAGAGTGTGGGCCATCTCAGAAGGCGAGGGGCCCTGAAATATGGGGTGGGGGGTGGTTTTCACGGACTGAGTCATTTCTGAGGCTAATGAGTAGGAGAATCATTTCAGCTATTTAGGGGAAGGGGCAGGGATTTCCAGGGTTCAGGCCATTGCCCACTGCTTGGCCTTTTATGGTGGGCCTTGGCACCTGTGGGCGTGTGATTTAGCCCGTGTTCTACAGAGAGTGTATAATGAGGCCCAAGATGCACTGGAAAATGAGTCTTCTGCCATGCTGGACCTAATCAGTTCTAACCGGTTAGTCGCATCCACAGTGGAGGTGTCCTTCTTTGAAAGGTTGCGCCCTGCCCCCTCTCCTCCTAGTCCGGCTCTGGTACAGATTCTGCATAAACAGTGGGTGTCCCCACCCGACCGCTTTGTCCGTCCTTCTCTCCCCCAGGGCCTCAGCAGCAGCCTGGCGAGCCGCAGCCCACCAGAGCCCGACCAGCCTGGGAAGGAAGAGCCGCTCCCTCCCAGGGACGCCTGCAAGGTAGGCATGCAGGGCCTGCGTGGGCCTGCCTCGGTCAGCGGGGACGCCTGACTTCAGGGAGAAGGCGCGCTACCCTCTACCCATCCCTGGTCCACAGTATGGCAAGGTCCCACTGGCTTAAAGAGTGACAGTTTCAAAAAATGAAACTGCAAAGATACACTTGACTCAGAGAAGTAAGTAAAAAATGTCAGTTCTGTTCAAAGGGGAAAAAAAGGAAGAAAGGGATTCACGAGTACAGAATACCAGCACAGATGGGTGTCTACACTGGCAGGGAGTATGCGGAATGACGATTTTTTTTCACTCGCTGCCTTCAAATCTTCCCTCGTCTTTTCTTGACCCCTCAGGCTGAGCACACAGAGCCTTAGTCTCTGGTTGTGAAAAAGCAGCCTCGTTCTGGTCATTAGATTCTACTTCTGGTTTTTAAAAGTCAGGCCAGGCTAAGCTGAAGATGGACTTCATGTCCGTTCAAGGAGTTTCCCCTGCGTCCATCTCGGGGACCTGTGGCCCGAGGGTCGTCTGGGAGCAGATGGAGGCTGCTTCGGCCTGGCGCTTCTCTCCCCGACCCCTGCTGCCGCTTACCCCGCAGGGCTTTGTGGACGGACAAAGCAAAAATGCAAAAACCAAGACAATGTATTAAAAAGCAGAGACATTACTTTGCCAACAAAGGTCCGTCTAGTCAAAGTTATAGTTTTTCCAGAAGTCACGTATGGATGCGAGAGATGGACCGTAAAGAAAGCTGAGCGCCGGAACTGTGGTGTTGGAAAAGACTCTTGAGGGTTCCTTGGACTGCAAGGAGATCCAATCAGTCCATCCTAAAGGAAATCAGTCCTGAATGTTCATTGGAAGGACTGATGCTGAAGCTGAAACTCCAGTCCTTTGGCCGCCACCTGATGCAAGAACTGACTCATTGGAAAAGCCCCTGATGCTGGGAAAAATTGAAGGCAGGAGGAGAAGGGGATGACAGAGGATGAGATGGTTGGATGGCATCTCTGACATGATGGACATGAGTTTGAGTAGGCTCTGGGAGTTGGTGATGGACAGGGAGGCCTGGCGCGCTGCAGTCCATGGGGTCACAAAGAGTCAGACACGACTGAGTGACTGAACTGAGCTGATTTTCGCCATGCGTGTTCATGGACACCGTGAACTCTACCCACAAATCCCTGAGGACTCTGGATTAAGAACCCCACCCTGGAAGACTCCTTGTTCCAGGAACCCTCCCCCGACAGTCCTCCTGCCTCCGCTTGTAGGTCAGCAAGGGGAGAGGGGAGCGGCTACATGGCCAGTGTGGTGGCCTCTTAGAGAAGCCTGCGGCTCCCTGAAGACTGGAGAAAAATTTGAAACCAATAGTCCTCAGCTTTGAAACATGCAACTCTGAGACAACAGAGAAAGTGCCCTGAATGACCTGCTGCTGTGAATTCATTTTCTCTCCTACATTCATGAAAATACACTGGAATCAATACCCAAGAAACTGTTAACATGGATTTGCTCTGAGGAGTGGAGATGGGAGGCTGGAAAGAGGGGCGGGGAATTACTATTCTTGCTAAATTCTTTTGTACTATCCGAAAAATAATAACAATAAAATATGTTTTGTTTATATAATGGTAACAAATTGTAAAGAACACCTGAAAAGTTTTTCTGAAGGAAACCAGATGTGATTTTAACTGGTCCAAGGCTAGTGAGGGCTTTCTAAGCATAAAATTAATAAAAGAAATGATGGGGAAGGTAGGTTAGATTATGCAAAACGGTATGTCAAACATGGTGATATTACAGATGAAGCTAAAAGAGAAAAGTGGCAAACATGAAGAAATATTTGCAATAAAAATTACCATAAAGGAGCTAATAGTCTTCTATTATGCAGCAACCTTATAAATCAATGAGAAAAACAATAACACGCTTCATACAGCTGTTTTGGAGTTTTCAGTACCCTTCTTCCTTGTTTTTGTTCTTGATTCACCATACCCACCTCCAGAAAACAACTGGGCAGCAAAAGGGAGAAGGAAAATCCTAAATATATAGATAAAATCCCAGGAATCAGTGATGGCTGAGGCCATATCACTTCACTTTTACTCCCAGTCCAGGTGAGGTTAGGTTACTGACCATTGTTGCTTCAGGCCACATAAGGCTTGGAGGATCCTGCACCATAGTGGACCAGAACTTCCAAGACTTCCTTCCCCACTGGAAGAAAAATGAGTTAACCTCAGAATCTCCATTCAAGCATATCCTTAGAGATAAGTGATACCCTCACTAAGGATGCCGGAAATTTTCTTGAAAAATAAAGTATTATGTTCCTTTGCACATGGCCTTCTATAACAGCATCATGCCACATGGGAAGCAGCATGGACTTTGGAGATCACACAAACGTTTCACTCTTATAATATTAGAAAAAAACTTAAAACTTCAGTAATACCAAGTGTTGGAGAGGATTGTGTAGAAAATAGGTTCTCTGCACTGTTCCTTGGAATATTAACTGATCCAATCACTTTGAGAACAATTTGGCAGCAATCTAGTAAGGTTAAAAATAGGCACAGTTTCCGGTCCAATAATTCTATTTCTGAAGACACAATTGCATGTGGGTGCAAAGAGACATACAAAGATGCTTACTGAGGCATTACTTCACAACAGAAATTAACCAGAACCGGCCCAAATGTCCACCTGTACAAGGATGGGTAAATAAAATCATAGCCCATTTATACAATAAAGACCACACACAAGTCAAACTAAATTAACCAGATTTGTATGTCACAACATACAGAAATCACAAAAAAATACATAATTTTGAGTAAAAAAAAAGTTACAGATGGTCTCATACAACACGATACCATTTATGTAAACATTCTTAAAAATATAGAGCAAACCTAAGTGTTGTTTACAGGTAATCTTTGCAGTAAAAGTATAAAAATCAAGGCCTGGATATATACCAAAGTTCAGATGGGAAGGAAATATAGGAGAATTGCTATTAAATTTTCATATATGTTTTTTGAAGCACGTTAATCATTTTGTATTGAAATATAGTTGATTTACAATATTGTGTTAATTTTAGGAATACAGCATAGCTATTCAGATATAGATAAATATAGTTAGCTATACATACAGATAGAAATATATATTGGTTACTATTTAGTTACTAAGTCATGTCCCACTCTTTGTGACCCCATGGACTCTAGCCCGCCAGGCTTCTCTGTCCATAGGATTTCCCAGGCAAGAATACTGGAGTGGGTGGCCATTTCCTTCTTCAGGGGATCTTCCTGACCCAGGGATCAAACCCACATCTGCTGCTTTGGCAGGTGGATTCTTTACCATT